ATTTGTTTTTGGATGGTGCGGGTTGCCAGTGCTGCCAGCTGCTTTGTCACGCACCCTAACTGGCCCTGGCTCATAGGTTTGTTGTCAAACAAAAGCCGAAAGCAAAGGAAAGTCAAAACAGCTCAAACCAAAAGTGAGACACAAATAAGCAATACGAATACCTTTCTTCCTTTACCTGGATTTGGACCTCCGGAGGGCAGCCATGATTGGAAGAGTTTGTCTCAGGAAGAAGTGGCAAAAACTGTAGAGTATAGGCATCGCTGAATCTCTCGCAAGAGGTGGGGGTGGGGGTCCCTGAATCAATTGTATAATAGTGAATAGTAAGATTGTTACAGGGTTGGACCCAATTGTTGGTTGGTTTCTGGTCAAATTAGGTCTGCCGCCAATGAGATTACATAGTCTCCACTTGTCGCTGGTTTACTAGTTTGGCTTGCAAACTAGGTGGAGGACACTGAATGCTGCAGAACCAACACAAAAACTGCGTCTTTGGTACATCTTCTGGATCATCCATCGAAAAGTGGCAGGAGGTGCACTAATTCAAACGATAATTTAAATGCTGCAATTCAAATCAAACCTTGGAATCTCAAAATTACTAGATTAGATGTAGAGCAGGCCGTAGGCAGTATATACCATCACTTTGAACTCGTTTTCTGGTGCCCACCAGCCTAGTCATAGTCATAGTCCCAGTAAGAAAGCGTGAACTTCTCTTTGGCAGTTTGGTCATTTGTCAATGTTTGGTCCACGAGCGGGCACTGCAGTGCATGTTTTGGTTGCCGTGCGTTCACGTTCAAGTCTTTTGCTACAAAAAGGAAGAAATGAAAGAGAAATATAAAAAAGGAAGAACACTTAAATGAAGAACGGAAGAATGGAAGATTCCAGGATAACAAAACAGGAAGAAATGCAGAAAGGAAAAGTACATAAAGAAGGAGAGAACGAAGAAAGAAAGAAAGAAAGAATGAATGAATGAATGAATGAAACAAAAAGTAATAAAAGAACAAAACAGGAAAAGAAGAACAGAAAGAAGTACCGGAAGAGAAAATGCAACACAAGTACAAGTTAGAATATAGCATAGCATGAATAGAAGAAGCTTTGTTGACATGAATACTAGCAAGCAAGCCTTAAACCAAATCAACGCCTAAGTGGTAACAAAATGAAGGGGCAAGCGGTGCCCAAGATTTGCATAACGCCTAAAGACCCCGAATTTGAAGGGGAACCCTTTTTGAAGGAGCCCTTGCCTCTTTTCCTTCTCTATTTTTGCGAATCGGACCTGTGCTCCTCTTTCTTTGTATCTCTACCTATATATGTGGAACCATACACTCTTATTTGGTTGACAAAAAAAACACGTTGAGGAATATCTTTGGGCACGATCTTTTGGAAAGCACTTGCCTGACAGCATAGGTTGGTTTCTGACATAGGTCGGTTTTAGACCATATCTTTCAATACTTGTAGAGATACCCCTACAGCACTACTCACTTCGATAACCTACATTGAACATGTGCTCGTGTTTCTGATGGGCGTGCCGTTTCCAAGGTGCTGATAGACGTGTGAAGTTCTCCTCTGCAGGAATTGACCTCAGAATCTGCTCCTCAAAGCCAGTGACCATGGCCACTTTGCGAACCTGACAGGCTCTGCCCTCTGACAATGCAAATTGTTTCGAAATCACACGCTGATTGAAAGCTTCGGTGAGTGTAAGGTCAGCAAGCCTGTGAAAAGAATCAGAACCCTGTTGAGGCATTGCGTCCGAGGATCTAAGTAGGGGCTTGTCATGAATGCCTGCACAAACTCTGCCACCGGCAAGTTAAGGCCTTCGGGGCAGCGGTACAACAAGTTTTGCTTGGGGCGAAGAGACAGCACTTCCAACATGCCTTGCAAATATGTGGTTTAAAAAAACACACACACAGGAAAACGTCAAGCCCTTGGGGTTCACACAGCTTACCGCAGTGGAAAGAAGCTGCGACACACACTTAAAATGAGCGCTCCGTAGAGCTGAGATTCAAAGATTCGCGGTGAACGTTAGCTTTTTATGTTACTGCTTTAGCCGAATGCGCTAGCACTTAACTGCAAATCACCGAATGAGACAACGTTGTCTTTTGCGTAGAATCACCAAGGTCAATTGAAGTTAAATTTTGCAGGTACATCAGTTCCGCGTCTGGAACTGATATCCTCACCGTGCATTGCCAGCTTCGTAGGTGGAGAAGCAATACAGGTGTCTCCACCCCCTGCTGAATAGAACTTGAAAATGAGAGAATAGTCAAAGTAGTATGTTAGTGCCCCTGGAGACGGGGGTTGCCACACACTTGAGATATTGTGTACTGAACTGAATGCGGTGCCACACGCCGGCCTAAGAGACCCAAATCCTGAAAAACCAGGTGAAGGGACCCAGAGTTCCTGTAGTTAAAGGCCACGACCGACGAGACGACAAGCTGACGGCGTTCCGTGCAAGTCTGCAGCAACAAGAAATTCAGGTCAGGGAGGTTCTTGGCTTAGCCTCTCGCCATTCGAAGAAATGGAAAATTGCAGGTACGTCGGAGCGGCCAACTCCGATATCACCAGATCAAATGGGCGTCTTCGTTGGTAGCGGTCCCAAATGATCTGCCGCTACCCCCTGCACTAAAAATACCAAAAGCGAAGAAAAAGTCCACATCAAATCCAACGGGATCCCTCTGACTTCAAGGGTTACACACACACGCCTCCCCGAGGGGAGGCAAAATTAAGGCTAGGACCAATGCGCAAATGTGCGCGCAGAAAGGACAAAAGGATGAAGACATGAAAAGGGAGACGACGGGACAAAAGTGTGTGTGGTTGCGATGAAAGAGAAACCAAATGCACAGGGACAACCGATGAACCCCCAGGTGTGCGAAGGGGAAAGGATGAAAAGGGAAACAAATGGAGGGGACGGAAACCGATGAACCCAAACCTCATTAAAGAACCTAGGCAAACCTAGGCAAGCCTCGTTAAACATGTACGTGCTGTGTGTGCGCCTAAGTTCACGACAGGTTCCAATGAACCTTGAACTGACTTTGGTCGCTGCGACCACGTACGGCGTGCCCGAAGGCTGCCACCTCCGACCGCTGCGGTCACGTAAGGGCATGAGCCAACTTGGTATTCCAAAGATGGGACAAATTTGAGTTCTTATGGCATGAGCCAGCTACTGTCCGCTGCGGACACGTACATCTCCGGGTAGGGGAGATAACGACGTACACCCGTTCGACGGGTCCATGGGAGGCACTCTGCGGGCTCATCCCGGGTTGGCACGAGGCCAAACACACTTGAGGTATTGTGTACTGAACTGAATGCGGTGCCACACGCCGGCCTAAGAGACCCAAATCCTGAAAAACCAGGTGAAGGGGACCAGAGTTCCTGTAGTTAAAGGCCACGACCGACGAGACGACAAGCTGACGGCGTTCCGTGCAAGTCTGCAGCAACAAGAAACTCAGGTCAGGGAAGTTCTTGGCTTAGCCTCTCGCCATTCGAAAATGGAAAATTGCAGGTACGTCGGAGTGGCCAACTCCGATATCACCAGATCAAATGGGCGTCTTCGTTGGTAGCGGTCCCAAATGATCTGCCGCTACCCCCTGCACTAAAAATACCAAAAGCGAAGAAAAAGTCCACATCAAATCCAACGGGATCCCTCTGACTCCAAGGGTTACACACACACACTTACACTCAAAGTTCAGGTGAGGGAACGTACCATCCAGTGGAAGTTCAGTTACGCAGTACACTTGACTGGTTAGTTGGTGAAGAACGGAAAGGCGGTAAGTCAACTCACTTGAAGGTGCTGTAACAAAAGTGTATAAGCAACGCTCAGCCGCTCGCACATAGAGTTCGTAGGGAGGTAGGTTCAATAATAGAGCGAGACAGGTGAGTTGCTCTATATAAGTAGGTACAAGCAAAAAAGGAAAAAGCCTCCTGTTGGTAGCTAGGGTAGACTAAAAGGATAAAGAAGCCTCCTGCATAGCTAGGGACTGGCAAATCGATCCATTAGGGTAGAAATGGAAGGGAACCGACAGACAAGTCTGCCGACAAACCCTGCCTCCTGTTTTTGGGCGAGACAGAAAATCACCCAGTAGATTAGAACAGTCACCGTAGCTCCCAGCTATGACCCCAAATTAATGGGTAAGTCATCCAGGGACGCTACATGCAGGAACAGGAAACTGGCCAAGTTTCCCTTCCCACTCTTATCCACAGCTTCATTGCGTGTGATGGGATAAGACTGTCACACGCCCCTGCTTTGAAAGTAGGTGAAAGGACCCCTGGGTACGGGGTTTGACACACACGTGATGGAGACATCCCGCATGTGCTGGGCATGGAATTTGTGGCATGGAGAGAGGAATCCAAACGCTTCTTCCATTTCTTCAAGTCTGGCTTGTGCTGCTCAGGCAATATGACTGGTTCAGGTATATAACTTTTGTACGGCTGCCGAGCCATCAGCCACACAAAGGCACGTTGTGATCTGATAGCATCGGAAGGGGGAGCAGGTGAAACATGCGAGACGTAAACATAAGTACAACTTTTACGAAATGCTCATGTGGAATGCAGGTCTGTCTGCTTTGGCTTGGGCAAAGTGCGCTGCCTTCCAGGCCCTCAAAGGAATCCGCGATGGTTTGAGGATCTGTCATAGCTACCCTTGGCAGCAGTAACCAAAACTTGACATTGTCCTGAGTAAGGTCTTGCAACAAGCAAGCTGAGATGCTCACTGGCCGTTGATGCGGAAGCTCCGACAGGGTGAATGAAAAGAGCAACTAGTACTTCTGCCAAAGATTGGTTTTGCTTCTGGATATTTGTTCAGAATGTGAGTGTTAGGATTCTTACTTCCAATCACCTCCAACAATGACTCAAAGATCTTTCATGTTTGTATGCTCGATACCTGTTGAGCCCATATGTTGCCATTTTCTCGATGTGGTGCTGTTGTCGACAAAACATCCACTCACAATCAACAAAAAGCTTGTGGAAGTGCGGAGCCTGCTTAATGCTGGTTCAAAAAAACTGAGGTGCGTTGCAGACAGGAAGAGAACGCAAAGCATAGGCGCGAAGCATACGCCCATCACTGAGGACTGACCAGATTCAAACCAAAACCACGCTCGCATCTCTCTGTTATAGAAGTGGTTCAAAGTCGGTTTCATACTTCTGTGAGATCTAAGGTCTAGCAGCAAGTGTAGAATTTCTTAACCTTCGAAAGAAAATTCCAAGTGTTTACGCCTCCAGTGCCTTTTCTAAAGGTCCAGCTGGACTGGTTGTGGCCTCCGGGAAGTGAAGCGACAATTGGTTGAAGCTCTGAGTTCAACCCAACCTGGTTGAAAGCTCGGACAATGGCCAGAATGGCCTTGGACCAATCATGTCAATGCTTGGCTTAGAGATATGTGTAAAGCAGACCCGTCAAATTAAGGTTGCTGCATACGAAGTGAAGTACGCGACAGTAACGCAGGAAAGCGCCAACCTCAGGTAACTCCGCCATGTAGAATTTCAAGAGCTTTCAAAGAATTGTCCCCTTGGATTCAAAGGAGGGCCCTTGCAATATTCTTCAGCTGCTCGGTGGCCCAGCAATGATGGGCGCATGTGGACGAGCTCAGCAGTCATGCCATCAGGCGGGTCAACAGCAGCTAAGTTCTGCTGGGCAACGATAGCCTTCAGCATTCCGACGGGTGGAAAACCAATGGTGTGTCATATCCCCAAACCATAGTTTTTGTGATGGGTTTGCAGAGCCGGTGTCATTCTTCATTCCTCCCCTGTGATCTGCCAAGACTGTGACGTACATGTACTTGGCAGGTTTCAAAAGAATTGCCTAAATCGATATTTCCTCTTTCATCATTGTAACTTGACATCGCACAAGGCGGAACTGCGCTCGTTTGTTCTGTTTCCACGCACTGGCTTCAACAAAACCTAAGTAGTCACTTCCACTCCAAAAACATGTAGCCTGCTTGGGGCTTTAGCGACTTTGCTTTGCGGCTGCTCTTGAGGTGGAAAATGTATTGTTTGCCAAGGCTGTCCATTGAATTTTGTGCAAGCTCTGCAAGTGCTTCAATCTGCACACCAGGTTCATCAACCGTGATTCGACCTAGACCCCTCAGCTTCTTCGTTTGCCTTTGCAGGTCGGGCCGAGAGGAATCATTTGGCACCTGATTCACCACAAACACATTTTCATGTCCTGACCCTTTGCAAAATCCGCCCGGACCGAAGGTGAGGCGTGTGTGAGTTCGGGCGCGAACACTGAGCTCTTGCTTTAGCTGAGGGGGGAGGGACAGGTGTGTCTGGAGGTGCAAAAAGGATGTGGAGGTGGTGTGCCATATGACCTGGGGCGGGGCAGGACATGAAGTGGTACACGTGGCGGTGAAACTGTTGAAAGGAGTCGTTTACGTGCCTTTCAGTGATCTTGTGATGCAAATGATGCAATAATGAGACACGCAAACCTCTTCAATGACATGATCAACATAGGACCTACAAATGAACGGTACAATGGTACAATGCAGGAAAAAGAAAAAAGATCCACAAAATAATGATGGACAGGCCGTGCTTATAAGTTGGACCCACTTAGAAATGTACCAAAGTCCAGTGGGTCGAAAAATGCAATGTTGTTGTTGGAAGTTCAATATGATTGTGTCTCTGTTTTCGGTAGTTTTGCTAGGTTGCTCCCTATGGGGTTTTAGAAAGGTTCCCAGCGGTGTAGTCCCCCGAAGTTTTTCTGCAGTTCCCCCAAGAGCAAACAAAATCAGCCCACCAAAAAGCTACAAACTGCCAAGACAAAAAAAAAAAAAAAGTAATCAAAACCAAGCCATCGAGACCCAACAAAGTCCACGAGAACACTACTGTATAACCAAAAGCAAGCCATCAAACCAACTGTCCAAAAAGCTACACTAAGGGCAACAGAAGAAGCTATCAAAACCTAGCCATCAAAATCCAAGAGAACCGCCAAAAGCAAGCAATCAAAAACCAAACCAACACAATGCCACACAAGCCACCAAAACCCAATAGCCGCAGAAGCCACAGAAACCACAAAAAGAACAAAAAGCTCAAAGCCACACAAGCCAAAAGACACAAACGCCAAACAAGCCAAAGTAGGTCCTTCTGGAGTAGATGTGCAAGTGTACAAATCTCTCTTGGGTTCCTCGTTATTTTCGGCTTTGCACGGTAGCTCCTTCTGGAGCTTTGACATGTATGTATAAGCACAAGTGTACAAATTTATCATGGTTCCTTCCTTGCAGTTTTGCTACATAGCTCTTTCTGGAGTTTTGAGCACTAATGCCACAGCAGCCACAAAAGCCAAAAGCTGCAGAAGCCACAGAAGCCACAGAAGCCACAGAAGCCAAAAGCCACAGGACCCATGGAAGCCAAAAGCCATAGAAGCCACAAAAATATAGGCAATAAAAAATCCAAAAATAGATCGCCCTGTGTCAAAAAATAGTAAGACATAAATGAAAATACAATGCGATGCAGTGCAGTGGATGATAAATTGCAGGAATTCCCTTCAAAATGTACAATTCAAAGGGGGTCGATCGAAATCATATGTTTGTGAAATATTATCACCGGATGTATACACACTTCTTTTCGCTCTTGTTATACTTGGGTCTCTTGCCACTGTGAAAATTATCTTATTCCTAACACCTCCACCTGAATACACGCTGTCTCTCAAAACAACTGGTGCAGGCGTTTGTCGTCTCAAAGCGACCTCAACATATCATCTCTTGACAGCACTGCCTCACGCTCCAGATTGAAGGATGCATGTGCTGGTTGTGGCACCAACCCGGGCAACAAGCCTTTCATTTGCACATGTGGTTCCATTTCTCGCTGCTTGCTTGGCGGGCCAAGTTGAGCTGACAAGTTTGAAGAAACCAAAGGACGAATCACTTCATTAATGCTATGCAACACTTGTCGCAAGCGGAGCAGCACACTGAAACAAGAGCGTACTTGACGGTCTAGAACGTGGAAAGTGAAATTAATCATGGAGTGAGGCTTAAAAGAGGCGGTCGTACATACGGCAAATCAGTAGATGACTCCAAAGCAGGAACTGGAGTGCATGACAATCCAAGATTCACAAGCGTTCCAAGAGTTGTATGTATATATATATATAGTTTGATCATAGGAGAGCCCCCATCTCATGTGAGCACTAAGCCAAAGATCCAGGCCTTTCTTCGATTGCCGTGCAACGCTTCCATTCCTGAGCTTTGGCTATCCCAAGTCAACACTCTAGATTCTTGATACACACTCGTTGGAGTGCCTTGCTGCAGGAGGAAGGCAGAGTCACCGCCTGTAACTCACTTTGATGTATAGTATAGGATAATGCTCGGGTCTTCACGGCCCTACAATGGCATAAATTAAAAAAACAAGGCCCAGCCTTGTGCAGCAACATATCTGTGCAATATAGCTGCAAAGACCTAGTTCGTCTGAATCACTGCTGAAGTTGATTGAGACGCATCCTTGAGGGCGCATTTAAGTCTGTTGCGAGAGGCCGCGCGATGGACACCATGATATGTACGTTCCTGAATTGCGGAACCGTGCCAAGTCCACAAACATTCACCAGTTCCGCAAACTTGCTTTGAAGAATTGACAGGCAACAAAAGGTGCTTGGGCCTCTTTAGTATGGGCCTCCCTCAAAAGGAGGCCCATGCTTAAAGGGGCTGAAGCACTGGCCCTAGGGCCCAGGCGGTTGATCACCCACTTAGTAATCCACCCATGTTCAAGCTGCGACACAGCTGCGGCAGAACGGTCGATCAAAAGAGCTAACGATGGCAGTCACGTCACATCTCCTCCAAAAGCCCTCCAACAGCCACAGCAGCAGAAATGGCGCTTCCATTTTTTGCCTTGCGGGTTCTGCTAAGCTCGAAAAGTCACAGTCATTTGTCGAGTCCAAGCATTGGCTATATGCGCAAAGTCTCTTCTTGAGACTTTGAAAGCATGTTTTGTGCATTCAGTGTGCGCTCACTGGAAGGCAAGCACCACCAGCCAAATGATCCTGCACTGGCAACAAAAGAAATCCAACACAAAGTGTTCGCCGCATCAGAATCCTGAGGACGCTGGGGACTCCGAGATGGTAAGGCCAATGGGCGAGCTGCGTCATCCCTGATGTGTGCTGTCACGGTGGCAAAGGATCAGTTTGGTTTGTTTGTATCAAATCTTTCTCAGTTGAGTTGAATTAATGCATATTGAGACAAGGACACAAAAGGCATTGGAAGAGGCTCCCGAAGGTGTCCACCAAGCAAACTGGTTCCTCCGAGTAAAAATGAATCCAGTCCTCATGACCATGAATGTTTCCGGGAGACCGCACCATCGTCCAATCGCCTCAAGAGAACAGAATATCTTTCTTTAAAGCCCGCTCCCCCCGGCCTACGTATAAATTAAGTAAGACACTCTAGTAAGCTACTAGCTACTAGTATGCTACTGGCATGGACGCAGGATAGCTCACGCACTATTTATTTAGTTCCTAGATTTTTAGGGAAACTTACTGTATCGCTTGCAAACAAAACTACATGTTGGACACACCTTTAAGGCTGTCGCAGTTCAGTATGAACTTTGAACCAAAATTGGGATCTCTTCAAACAAACTCACCCCATTTGGTGCCTTTGCAGGATCTTCTCACTTTTCTCTGCCTGTTGCAAAGAACCTAGGTCAAGCAAACTCACAAGCCCGTGCTTGAAAAAAACAAGACACAATTGGTTGCCAGCAACATGCCTGCACCTCGCAGCGTTCCCCCGACAAGATTGTCCTGCAGCTGGACAAGGAAGGTGCACACCCATGCTACACAAACATTGAAAAAAATGTCTTTGTGGTGGAATTGTCCAGTCCGCCACTTCAACTCGGCGCTTGACCGGAGTTTGAGATCTGTCCAACAAGCACAAATGGGACCAGGTATGACAAAAATGCAAGGATGTGGCAAAGTGACGAAACCTTGAATCTTGAATGCATTGGAAGGTGTTGGCCTTGCAAACACACCTCCACACAAACAGGAGCGAAGGCATCAGCTCCATTCAGCCTTGGGCCGTAGCAAAGCAGGGGAGCCGCCTGAAGGACATTTGGCGGAGTGAAACAAAACAACTGATGCTAGCAAACAACACCGAGCCTGCGCCATCGCTTCTCTTGCTGGATCAACAAGCCTAAAGATTTCATTCAACATCTCACACGCCTGTCGACTGTTGCCTTGCACATTTCAAACTTCACAACCATGCTCCCCACAAGTTTGCAACTTGGGAATCCAGTGTGGGTGATGGTTCGCTGCGCCGCAAGCCCTCTGCACATTCTATGCGTAAAATCTCACAACAGCTTGCAATGAACACTCTCAACTCTTGCAGCTCATCCGGACCAAGGAAAAGCAATCCCAATTTGGGCTACCAGTATTGAGGGCAACAGGCCAGTCCTCTGACAGATATAGCGCTCTTTGCAAGTTCAGGCCTGTGGGGGTGCTTGATCTGCACACCGACCACTGACTGCGCCGCTCCACAGCAAGTGGTCCTTGAACCAAAACTTTTGGACCCAAAAGTACAGGTGCTTGCAAGTTGTCTATCGTTCTTTCGGAATGCTTTGAATGTAAATCAAATGATTACTGATGACTTCTGTATATCAACGATAGCTCTGAATATGTATATTCTGAATATTTATATGTATTTATATATATAATATATGTTCCCGTTTCATCACGCAGCATGTGCAAAGTTAGAACTCCTGAGAGACCAAGTGCCGTCGTTGGGGAGTGTCACCACGCCTGCAAGCGTATCAAGTTGAAGCCGACGCTGCCAGGCAAATAAGCTTCATCTGCAAGGGATCCACGAAATCATTGCTGATGTCATTGGAACACCTTCATTTGAAAAGGGAACGTTGGTGCATATCCAGACATGAACCACACAGGGCCTCAAAGTCGGCTGACCTTAAAAAGTGAATGTCTGGAAATCGAGATAAAGTTGCTCTTGTTGAAAGAATCTCTGCAAGAACTTACTTGCAAGGCTTCATTGTAACCACATCGCGCAAGGGGGAACAAATACAAAACCTCAAGAATTAGTGGATTGACGCAGCATGATTGTAAATTAGATGTCCATGAATATCAAACACTGATGCGCTCAAAACCGAAAGTGCGATTGGGTGGCGGAGTTGTGGTCTCCAATGGGCAAGAAATGTTATATAACTCAGCTAGCCAAACAAATGAATTGGCATTCGCACTTGTCTCTTGCCGTCGACGTTGAACTTCAGCACTCTTCACCTTGCAAGAAAGCAGTTGTTGCATGGCATATGTCTTCCTTTCAGTGATACGAATGAAGGCTTTGGCCTGCCTGCAAGGCTCCTTGCATGTGGCATTCTGGCCCCAGCCTTAAAGCAATTGCCCAACGGTGAATGCCATACGGAGCACATCTCACTCTGAATAAACTCAGGCAGCTGCAAATGCTTTCTGCCGTAGTAAGATTCGATCACCTGAAACATCAAATTCACTCGCTGTACAGTGCTTAGTTGAAGTTGGGTTCTTTTTGTTGGAATAGCTGCGCATGAGCTGCCTCTGCTCGCAAGACTTTGAATGCACAAGAAGAATCAAATGCATTTTCAAGGCACAGGCCCCTTGTGACAATCCCTCCCATCACAAGATCTCAGGAACCCAATCAATCCAAACAACCAATCGAAACCACCAGTCAATTATTCAGACTACGTGTCGCCACATCTTGTGCCTCTCGTCCGTGCTCCTTGTGCTCTAAGGCATCAAACCGCCTGAATGCTTTAGCAAGCCTCCTACTACCTTTGCTTCCCTTGTGTGACACTTGCTTATACGGTCATAAGGTTGCGAGGGTGTCTTATTGCAAACGGAAACCAAACTCAATAGACTGGTACACTTTGCACTCCTCTTTGAAGCAATCTCGAAGGAACTTGTTGTCGCACCTCGCGTGCCCTGCCAGTTCAAAAGACAAAAACATGTAAACTAAAAATCGTAAAACTTATTTGGAATAAGAGTTGTGAATCTCCTGCACGGGGTATGTCAGAAGCAACGTGAAATGTACAATGCATTGTGTTTGTGACAACATCTAGATTCTACAGCAACTTGGGCCTCTTCAAGGTTGAAATGCCGCCTGGTTTGGACGTGCTCGCTGTCCACAAGTGCTGATGGTGCCTTGGAATTCAAGCTTTGCCCTCAAAAGTACCGCTGGCAACCTTCACTTGGTTCCATGCGTCATTTCTGACTTGGCAGCCCTGCCAACCAACTTTGATGAGTGATTAGCAATGTTTCTCAACTTTGAACATTTCAAAGCAGCTAATGCCTCGAGTATTGACCCTTGCAACGCTCGAGGAGGTGGCCCAAAGAGGAAATGCCTGTTGACCAACAATCACACCGGTCAAAGTCCAACCGATCTCGCTCACCTTCGCCCCATGGCGTTTCCCAAGCACCCACGGCTGTGCACAGCAATCCTCTTGGGCCGCAAAGTTCCAACAATGAAGTCCTTCAGAGCTCAGTTCTCACCGTGTTGGGGCGACGTTGCAACGTAATACAAATATGCAGGTTTAGAGGATAAATTACAGTTTGTCCACATGTTGCTCAATTTACGCAATTCAATTCTCACTCGCTCAAACAATTCTTTTAGACCATTGGGAAGTCCAAGTCTTGAGCCTCTGCCTCCTCCTTCTGAACGAGAAAATGTGGCACCTTCTTGAACACGAACTGCAGGTTTGCTTTTCAAGAAGTGCACACGCATGACAAATAAGTTTGAATTCAATCAACGGTTTCAAGCTGTTGGAAACAACTAGATTCTTTGTCAACTTCGTCGACTGCATTCATAGATTACATCACACATGTCAGTTCTCAGACGACAAGTGGAGTGCAGAACTCTGAAACCAATCACTCACACAATGTTTTGATTGCGGAGGTCCAAGGTAACAGAATTTTCGGAGAATCCCTTGAAGATACAAAACCTAGACCCTGTTTCCTTGCTTGGCTCGTCCCAGCTGTTACAGCTAAACCGACTCAATTCAAAGTTTTAATGGACAGGTTCTGAGTCTCTGTCTCTGTGAAAAGGTTCATTCGATTCTTTTTGCACTCCATTTTATTTTGTTCTTTGGATTTATTTCTCATCTTCCCAACTGCTTTCTCACAGCGCCAAGAACCAGATGACACGCACACACACGATCACAATGTGTTGATTTGAGTGTGTAATGATTGTTGGTGGTGGTGTTTTTTCACTGTCACGGCGCGTTGCAAGGTCGAAACCAAATGTCAGGAGGGTGGGAAGAGCAAGAAAACACCGCACACAAAAAATGACTTCGACAGTTCTGCAGCCTCTTTGCTTCTCAGCCAGTTGGAACATGTTTGTTTGCACTTTTTGCTTGCTTCACGTACTCTTGCGCGTGCCACGCGCGCAGCGCAGAAAAAATCTGTCAGACAAAAATTGAATAATCGCACAGCATGAAGCTTGTCTGCATGGAGTCGCAAGAACTCCCATTCAACACCTTCCACGAATTGCACTGAGAGCCGGGTTTGCGCGTGAAAGACGGGTGCACTGTGGCCACTCCAGCTCACAGCGCTTGCCCTCGTTTTCCGGCCGCAAATGCAACTCTCTTGCCGTTGCAGATTCACTGTTCACGGAAAGTGCAGACTCGGAAAACCTGTTTGTCACACTTGCAAGACAGCGTTGCAACAACGACTGTAATTGTATTTTTCGTTGTCAATGTATTTTTCGTTGTCAAAAACAAAAAAACGGCTTGAAACATCTTTTGAAAGTGAAGCAACAAATGGAGGTGAACAGCGAAACCACGACCAACGCCAGAAAAGAACACAAAGAGAAACATCTTCACTACACAAAAACGAACTCAAATGACTGAACAGAAGCGGTTCCCCTGTGCGAAAAACTGTTGGTCGAGTGAATTGTCCAATTTGCATGTTGTTTTCTACATCAACATCAAGTGCATTCATGAACACTTGCATCTTCCTCTCTTTGCTTTTGCTGGGGGCTCAAAACACAATTTTGAGGTCGAAAGACTGCTCAGCTCCAACAATCTTTTGAGGCCAGAAACATTTTTCAAACCAAAAAGAAATTGTGATTGACAGTTTTTGAATTTTTTGGTCGCTCTGGAATGGTGCTTTTCGAGCTTAAGGAAACGATACGAGTTGAAAAGCCATTTGATGTCGAAAAAACACACTGGTTGTTTCAGCGTCCCATCTTTTTTTTCTTTCAATCTCTCAGGGACTCTTGATTTCAACCAGTTCCTTGCAGTGCGTGGCACAGACCACAATATGCAGAACTGGAAAAAGGTCGAAAGTGGATTTGCGTTTTGCAAACCTGCCACTTCAAAGGAAGTCCAACTGAAACTGAGTTGCCTGCAGCTTTCCAAGTTGCCCATACAGCCGAAAATGTTGCCAAGGGACAGGGCGATGAATTGCAGCATCTGGAGACTTCATGACTCCATTGAAAAGATCTGCAAGAAGATTGCTGTCACCAAATTCATTTAAACTTCAAACCGTTCAACCTCACAGTGCGAAAGAACTCCAATTTGCACGGACGGCAAGGAGACGGTGAGTCGTGCGGGTGAGACGAAAAGTGACCAATGTGAAACATGTGTGGAGCAGTGAATCCTTGCAAAAAAACCTCAGAGGCATGCAAGAAAGTGTGTATCATGCTCACATGAGCATTTCCGTTGAGAAGACATCGGCAAGACAGACAGGCAAGCTGTTTTTTGGCAGCAGCGATCAAACGAGAATTGCTCTTGAGCGCGGTCCTTACGAAAGGCAATTTGCCTGCAGTGCTTTCACAAGTGGCATGCTGCGCTGTTTGTGATGCAGCCAACAAGGCTCTGCGAAGGTGAACAAACAGCCATTGTGGCCTCCTCCACAGGAGGGGGAGCGTCTTTGGGAGGGGGAGCGTCTTTGGGTGAGTCGTGCAGAGCTCTCGTGAAACTTCGCCGTTTGAACTGCACACTTTGTACATGCAGGGCTTGCGCCAGGACAAGGACAGAGGTCCTCGGGCCGATTAGTGCACGGTTCTACTCTCAACTTCTTCCCGCACATTCAAAGGTTGCCTTGAAGAAGCTTTCGGCTCACAAGCGAAAGCCCTCTACACTTTGCTTTTTTTCACTTCTTCGACTATGACCAATTGACAGGCTGACGGACTGAACAACCTGAAAAAGGCCGCACAGAAAACAATTTCTTGTTCTCTTGCTTTTGCAATTCCGAAATGGAGACCTCTCCTTCCAGGCAGGAATCGCCATAGTGGACTGTTTTTCCCACCACCAAATGTCCCCGAGAGCCGTCTTCCAGTCAATGCCACCGGTCCCACGCTTTGACGCTGGTTGTGGCAAAGCTCAAGTGCGTTGCTGAATGCTGTTGCTGCTCGCTCCAATCCATTTGGCAGTGAAGATGGAGGGAGCCCTTGGCTCTGCCTCCACTGGTGGCCAGAGACACACCTGGCGCACATCTGGAGTGTGTGAAAAGGCATAGGGCAACACGATCAGTGTTGATAGACGGGACTCTAATGGCTTTGGCCCGTTTCTTCAGCTGTCCTTTCTGCTCTGCTTGCACAAAGCACTGACGGACTACAAGGTTCCAGGATTTTCTTGGTGTTCTCATGGACAAATTCAAATTCGCATCCAAAGGTGCTGCATTTCCCAATGTATGGTAGATTCTCGAGTACGGAACTGAGGAAGGCTTTCTACCCTCGACCAGTACTTGCAGTTTTCACAAACCATTGGTTCTGTGCCGTTGCAGGAAGGTCAGACAAGGACAAGGAAGAACGCCATGTGGGCGGAGTGCCCAGGTCATCATTGAAGGGAAAGAAAACACAACATGATGAGGGGAAAAAGAACACAAGCAACCCCAAAACCAAACAAAAACCAACCAAACAAGAACCCAAAAACACAACCAAAAGGCCAGAGGCCGAATCCCCCTCATCTAAAAGTGTTTCCACTGTATGAAGGTGAGTGTGAAACAGGTGAAACTGTGGACCTATCCTGGCATGGTACTTGTGACAGCAATGGTCATGGCATGGCCGCTGCAAGGAGAACTAAGGTTCCCCCTGGCAACCTTCCATTGCGATTCTCTGCCACCAGCCTTTTGGGAGCGAAAGCTAAGGCTCTCATTCCTGTAAGCTCACTGAAATGTCGACAACCGAAATGATGGCTTTGCTGATTCTTCTCAAGCCTGGCTCGCAAAATCGAAATAGCAGAGCAGCAGTCCAATCCCCGCTGTGGTCAGAGCGTTGCCGTCCAGGGTATGGCTTCTTGGAAGTCTTCTCTCCATTGGTCGTTGGCATTTGGCGGCAAGAATCGGAGCCACTGGGGCTTGTCTAGTTGCTCACATTTGTCAAATGCATTGAGCAGGGCATTGCTGTACAAAGAGGCACAAGTACCATGCTAGGATAGGTCCACAGTTTCACTTGTTTCACATGGGCCTTGCACGTGACAGGAGAATGCTGGCACGTTGGCGCCTCTCTTTCTTTCAGGAACAGAGTGTGCCGCCTTGGCACTCCTTGAATGCTGAGAGGTGCAAAGGAGACCTCCCTTCGGGGGGAATGGCATCATCCTGGTCAGCAAGCCCCCTTCGTTTGCTTCTGCCTCTACTGCCTGACCATTGATATGCCTCTCGCTTCGTTCGCGCAATCAGTTGAAAGGGTTGTGCAACGAGAAGGGACTTTTCCACGGCATGCTGAGCAGGGCAACAACTGGTTTCCCGAACAAGAATCAGACCTGCTGACAACAAACAATGCAGCTCCTGCAAAGCCCTATTGTCACTCTCGCCACTCGATGCAGTGGCCTTTTAGTCACAGTTTTGTGGATGGGGCTTCGCACTCCGCTTTGCACCTTACCGACCGACTTTCGTAGTGAATTCAGGCCCATGGATAGTTTTCAGCCAACTTTTCTCACCTGTCTCACCTTCGCGCAGTGGAAACACGTTCAGATGAGGGGATTCGGCCTCTGGCCTTTTGGTTGTTTTTGGGTTCTTGTTTTGGTTGGTTTTTGTTTGGTTTTGTTGCTTGTGTTCTTTTTCCCCTCATGTTGTGTTTCTTTCTCTTCAATGATGACCTGGGCACTCCGCCCACATGGCGTCCGCACTCGTGGAAAAAACCTTTGACAATTTTGTTGCTACACTCTTCTCTCCCTTGGGAGAGAAAGCCAGCTCCAAAGTTGCTTTCACTTGTCGGGTCTGTGGCAAAAAAGCCAATCACGAAGTTCCGACCTTCCGGACGAGAACCACTCGCGTCCCAAGCAGACAGTCACGACTTCTTTAATGCGGCAGCACCATGGACGGAAAATTTGCTTCCAGGAGCAGCCGAATCGATGCACGATTCCCTCCCGAACTGCCAAGATTGTGCTTCTGACAGCTCTTGGATAGTTGAAACCGAGTCTACATGCAAACTAGACAAAGGCAAGAGAAGCAAGAGTGGTCGTGGTTCCAAAGTCCTGCTTAGTTCCAAAAAGAGAACTACCTCTGGTAAACAATCTTCACATCCGACTGAAATCTCTACACAGCATAATACTCAGGACACCTTTGCGGAAGAAAGATACCGCCCTCCTGAAGATGATATACTCATCGTGCCTGGTCATTGTGCTCTGTAGCCCAGTTTGAGGTTGGGAGAAAACTTCTTCAATATTGTCAATAGTCTCAACTGGCAGCAAGAGAATGGCGACCCGTGTCGTTGTTCCTCTACTGCAACAGGAGCTCCTCAACGACTTAACAGTAGCCCAACCAGGCCCGGCCCTTACACCACGGATAGCATCAAAGGTGGAGCTGGCCTGGATAAAGCCGTTTTTACTACTGCCAGCTCATCGGGTGATGGTGAAGTTTGTAAGCCTCCATATGCCATTCTAAGTATGTTTGATGGCTGTGGATCCTCAGTTGACATCATTGAGTCCAAA